AAAAGAAGCTGTCCTTGCGAGATTATGGCTTGCTTCTTCCTGACTTCATAGGAGAGAGAATTTTGGCGACGGCACAAAAAGAGTGGATTTGCAAGAACGCATTTGCTTTGCAGTGGAAGCTGCTTCTTCTCGCCCTGCTAAGTGCCTTCTTGTTTTTCGGTTTTGCAGCCACAGACCGGGAGAGCCGAAGGTGAAGCGAGTCGAGGAAGCTGCCTAGGCCTGTCTCTCTCTCCCCCCCCCCCCAATCTGAAGACCGAGGGTCAGCGGACCGACCAGCACTCCGGTTTGTGGATCTCGTTCTCTCTCATCGCCTTCTTCGGCCTTCGCGTCAAGAAGGACACTCTGTCCCTCTCTTCCTCGTGCCAGGCCGTGGGACTTTTTGTGCTGGGGCATAGTGATGCTGTACGTTTCTGTTCGGTGATGACATGGACAGATGGGAAGGAGACCGCCCGCCCACCGATGGCGTTTGACCGAGATAAGGCAGGAATGCCGGACCTTTGCATGAGACCACGCAGATGGGCCGCCTTCTGTCTTAGGCTCTGAGAGACCAGAAGGGAGCAGTGGGGAGGCTGCGAGCTGCTTCTGGAAGACTGCCCCCCCCGCAACCAGGGCCCACCTAATTGGTAGGGTTGCCCCCCCCAGTTGCTTCTCTTCTCCGGGTCCCGACAGCAGCCTTCCTCCCCCCCACACCCACCCGGGGACCCACGATGGGGGCAGGTCTCTCTGCTGGGGCCATTGTGGCGATTGTCTTCAACGGCGTCATTGCCTTCCTCCTCCTCCTCCTCTTCCTCATCCTCTGCAAGGCCTGCCGGACGCCTGCTTGCCCAGACCAGAGCCCTTCCTCGGAGACCGACGAGCGGGGAAATGAGGAGAAGTATCTGCTCCAGGCTTGACCCCTCAAGTCTGGAGGACGTCGCGCAAGCTGGCCCTCTGTCCAGCCGTCCAGTTTGGTCAGCAGAGCTGCTAGAAGCTCCCCCACACCAGCCACGTGGTGGCTGAGCCCCTTTGGCAAAGGGCTGGTTGCTGTGAGCAGAGATGAGTGGCCCACCGTCCTGGCCCGGAGACGAGGGGAGGGCTCTCCCTCCCATGGGGCAAGGAGCCCCCCACCCCCCTAAGCGGCCGACGGAGACGGGACAGAGAGACGAGCCGGCTTTCATCTCCTGGCCTGTTGGATGGCCGTGCCGTGGCCGCCTCAGTGGTGGCTCTGCCAAACCCGGAGACTGGCCCTGTCAAGGTGGTGGCTAGCCCTGCCATGGAGAAGGCCCAGGACGTGGCCTCTTCTGGAACACGCTGTTTCACGACCCAGGTTTCTAGAAACCCTTGGGTGGGCCGGGGTCTCGTTGAGAGACTTCCTTGCTCCCCTTATAAGCGGGCCCCACGCTGGCCTCTCCGTCTTCAGGGGCCTTAAGTCTGCCCCGTGGCAGAAAAGGAGTAGAGCCGTGTGAGGCGATGGGGGTCGGAAGCCTCACGGGAGACGACCAGGCACGGACCGAGCGGGAGGCTTGGCGGGTGGGGGGCAGCACCCCTTGTCCAGAGAGATGAGTTGAAGCTGCCTCCGATGCCGGGACCGGTGGCGTCCCAACCCGGCCAGGCCCTTGAGGGCTTTTATCCCCCCTGAGGGGTAGCCTCTGGGGTACCCTCGTTGTGTCCTTTCGGCACCCCTTCCGGAGCATCCCGTTTCCACTTCCCGGGATTCTGGGGAAGGGAGCTGGGGGCAGGCTGTCAGGGGAGGGGAAGGAGGCCCCACGGCCCTCGGGACCAGCTGGCAACGGTGGGGAAAAAAATGGCAGGTGGGTGGAGAGGTGGGCGAGAGGAAGGGAGAGGGCAGGGAGGAGAGTGGGCAGGAAGGGTGACTCGGTTCCCTGTGCCCACAGCTCTGCCACCACGGCTAGGGTCATGCAGGGACCGAGCAAAGCAGATCTCTCTGCTGCAGAAGAAATGCGAGGGGGAAACTGTGAAAAGCTGAGCACGACAGAACCAAGCACTGTTTCCAAGTTGGGGGAAAGTCCCGCAAGGCAGCAGCAGCCGCTTTGCTGATGTTCCCATGGTTGAGTCTGGGATCTCCGAGCGCAGGGTCTAGTTCAGGCTGGACACCGGCTGAGCCCCCCCCCCCGTGTGTGGGGCCAGGCCTGTGTCCCACCCCAGCTCGGCTGCAAAGGCCTGCCTGGCCAGGGCTATTCATGTGGCAGAGGGAGTTGAGCTGGGTGGGGCGTCGGGCTGGCCGAGGTTGCCTTTTGCCCTGTCGGGAGATGGGGGGGCTGCCCCTTTTGGGGTCTCCCCTTGCCAAAACAGAGGCGCCCGTGTTAGAGAAGCTGAAACAAACATCTGCCCGAGCTTGGAAAAGACGGCTGCATTTTTGGACAAGCACTCCCGGAATTCCCAGCAAGCCTGGGGGATTTGGGGAGTTGTAGTCCATGCCTCCAAATTTTCCCAAGCTCTCCAACCGGATCCCTTTCTCCCACGATCTCATGGAGGCTGCCGTCCGCCGTGAGCCACTGCTTGGGACGGGCCAACGACTTCTGGGCTTGGCCGCCTTCCCTCCCAGCGCCACGGTGGGCTTTCAGAGACCCGTGACCTTCTTCGAGGGAAGCCTCCATCCATCCATCCGCCTCCCCTCCCCTGTTTGGTTTCGAATGCTAGAGGTCACCACCCACACTGTGACAGTCCAGGAAGGGGGGGGGGGCTTTTCTGCAGAAAAAGGGGGAGGGGAGGCTGTATGGCTGCAGCTGGAAAGGGGGGGAGAGAGAGGGACCAGGATGGGAGGATTGCCCCCCCCATGTCAGGGGGAGCAGAGGCTCTGAGGCTGCTCCCCCCCCAAACTCAAGCCAAGAGCTCCCGGGCAGCTGGGGCAAGGCAGGCAGGTGAACCGGCCAAAGTCCTTCCGACAGGCAGGCAGAGGTTTAGCCAGGGTCGGGGAGGCGGTGAAGCCACAGCGAGAAGGCGGTGGTGGGGAGGCTGAGTGCTGGGGGGGATCCAGGGAACTCCTGAGCCACCCCCCCTTGCACTGCTAGGGAGCCCCACTGCTTATTCCGGTCTTGTTGCTAATGACTCGCCACTGGCTGCTACATGTCCCTTCCGGACTGTGATTTTACTGGACTAATAAAACATTGCCCCCTGTTTGTAATCAAAGCCTCCCTCGTGCTCCGGACTGGTTTCTTTGGCCCCCAATGGAACTGGAGGGAGGAGGGAGGCCAGGCTTGGCCCACAGGCTCCCAGGCTCTTGTTTCTCAGCGGAGATCCAGGGCAAGGAATGGAGAGGTTTGATGGGCGGGGGGGTGGCAAGGGAGGAAAGGCCCAGGACAGCCAGCCCCCCACCACCATGTCAGCCTTCTTGAATGAGGGATTCTTTTCAGGATGGACTTTAATCTGAGAGGGCAGCTCTGCTCTGCCATCATGTACGGGGATGAACAGACAGATCTGTGCCAGCGCTGCCCAGAAGCCTTGGCATTAGCAGTCGCAGGATGCGGGGAGGAGGGGCACCTGGGAATAGGGCAGCATGCCCCGCGGAGGGGTGCGGAGGAGGATGGAAAGGAGAACAGGGTGAGGGGAAATGGGAAATGCCTGGTTTCGTTTCAGACGGTTCCTCCAAAGAAGATGCTCCGTCTTCCCACAGCTTGGTATGTATTTCTGGTTTTTGTTTTTTTAAAACACGTTAGCTTGTCTATGTCCCAGAGTCTTCCTGAGTCTTCCTGACTGCATTATTAGGGCCAAACTATACATTAGACACAGCCCGTGATTAAAAGAAGGAATTTCTCAGTGGCTGGAAGCATCTGTTGCCCCAGGAGTTCCATGCACATCCATCCCTGTGGGTTTGCTTTGCTCTTCTGTGATTGGTCCACGGAAGGTAAACACAGCCTTCCTTTGCAAGTATGGCTGCTCGGCCAAGTATGTAGGTCTTCCCACAGAGAACATCGAGGCCCCTTTAATGACAGACTGTTTGTAATGGGTCGTCGGTCCTTTCACTGTGACCTCTGGATACACAGGAATGTTGTGAATACGTGGGCTTGGGTGTCAGTACGTCTGCCTTCGGTCCGGACCCTTGATGAGTGGGAGGGGGACAAGAGGGGCCCTGCAGAACCAAACATGAAGGTGGCAGTACAATCGGCTTTCCAGGTGTTTTGAGACTACAACTCCCATAATCCCTTCTCAATTCTCCGTGTTGGCTGAGGCTAAGAAGCAGAAGCCAAACACACCTGGGAAGTCGACGGTTCCTCACCTTGATCTGTGGGCACGTAGCCCTTGAGATGTTTTGGACCACCATAACCATCGCTCCTTTGCAAAAGGATTTATGGGTATTGTAGTCCAAATCATTCACTCCACGCTCAGAGACGGGGTAGCTGGTTTTACCCTGTGGCCTTTTCTTCACAATCCTCTTGTCAGCATTGTGTCAGTGCACACACAAAAACACACACACCACCCATGGACAAACAAAACGCCACTTCTCCCAGTATGAGGCTGCACCCATTCGGGTGCTGTCCGTCCTCAGCTTTTTAATCTGTGGATGCAAAACCAAAAACACACAAAGCCCTCTTTGTCTCGGAATGAAAAGGTGCTGGCGCAGCTGTTCATGCAGGGCCCTGGCCCAAACAATGGGGTGCCTGTTCCCGGAGCCTGGGTCTTCCTGGCCACATGGGTGGCGGGGCAGAGAGGGGGCACATCAGGGAGGGAGGGTCTCCCCCCCTTCCTTACTTGCTGCTTTTGGCTGCCGGCTCTCTCACCAGATTCAGCAATTTGTCCAGCTTGGCGATCTCCACCTCGGGGCCTTTCTGGACCTCCTGGCCTTTTTTCTCCTGTGGACAGAAGAGATGACGCTGGTTAAAAGTGAAATGCTTCTTGCAAGGAAAGCGATGAGAAACCTTGACAGCATCTTAAAAAACAGAGACATCAACTTGCCGACAAAGGTCCACATAGTCAAAGATATGGTTTTTCCTGTAGCGATGTATGGAAGTGAGAGCTCGACCATAAAGAAAGCTGACTGCTGAAGAATTGGTGCTTTTGAATGGTGGTGCTGGAAGAGGCTCATGAGAGTCCCCTGGACTGCAAGGAGAACAAACCTATCCATTCTGAAGGAACCCCACCCTGAGTGCTCACTGGAAGGACAGATCCTGAAACTGAGGCTCCAGTCCTTTGGCCATCTCATGAGAAGAGAAGACTCCCTGGAAAAGACCCTGATGTTGGGAAAATGCGAAGGCAAGAGGAGAATGGGATGACAGAGGATGAGATGGTTGGACAGGGTCGTCAAAGCGACCAACATGAATTTGACCCAACTTCGGGAGGCAGTGGAAGACAGGAGGGCCTGCCCTGCTCTGGTCCATGGGGTCATGAAGACTCGGACGGGACTTAACGACTAAAGAACAACAATAAAGGTGAAATCGCTGGCAGGCTGCTGGGGCAGAACCTGCCAGCTTACCTTGTCTCCATGTCTCCCCTGATGATGGTGGAGCCCCAGCTGCTGCTGGGTGTGTGTGTGGCATCTCTTGGTGTTTGGGCTCAGATGAAAGCTGGGCTTTTTTACCTCTGAGGAACCGCGTGGCACAGGGACCCCTGCCACCTCTTTGAGCTCTCCACCCTCCCTCCTTGGAGAGGCTTGCCATGCACCAAGAGTCCCCCTGGCAAGGAGCACCTTTCTCCTCCTCCAGCAGAAGGAGGCCACTCCGGCAGGCTCCTTTGGGGATGTCTGGCGGGGCCCCGTTGGGTGGCGGGGGGGGTCTGCCAGAAATAGAAGGAGGGAGGCACCTCTAGGCAGGAAAAGAAAATCAGCCAGAACATGGCAAGGGCACTCCGGCTGCATCTCTCTGAAAACGGACCCACTGCGGCAGATGTGGGGGATGCCAAAAGAAGGGACTGGAGACGTCCATCAGGCATCTTGTGTGGGACCATTGCTATGCGCACCCTATTCTGAACTTCCCAGCAGCCTGCGGGTGGCCAGCCCTGGGCCTCTCAGCTGCCCAGGCAGAGGAGCCGGTGACAGCCCTGGGGCGCCGGTGCAAGACAACGTTCTCCCCCCCGGTGTCCTCTCGGCCCTGTCCAACGTTGCCCCTGGGCTGCAGATGGCTAGATAGCTCAGTGAGTTGGGTGCAGAGACAGGAGTTTCGGATCTGACACCCCATTGTGCCTCTTGGGAGAACAGACAGCCTGGGTAGCTGTGGGCAAGCTGCACGGTCCTGAGGCACCCCCCTGAGAAGAAGAGGACGATAAACCACTTCTGAGTATTCTCTAACTAGGAAACTCTGAAAAAAGGTCTCCCCCAAGTTGGAATGGATGGGATGACATGTTTTGCTATGCTTCTTTCCTTGGGAGGTGTGGACCACCTCGTTTCTGGAGCAAGCAAGCGCTGCAACACTGGAGGCCTTCAAGAAAAACTTAACACCACCACCTGGAAGACCTACTTCGATTCGGATTCCTGCCTCGAGCAAGGAGTTGGACCCGATGGCCTTCAGGGCCAAGAATGGTTCGTTAATCCATATTAGATAGATAGATAGATAGATAGATAGATAGATAGATAGATAGATAGATAGATAGATAGATAGATAGATAGATAGATAGATAGATAGATAGATAGATAGATAGATAGATAGAAATAAATAAATAAATAAATAAAAACAGAGGGGTGTGGCCAAGAAATCAGGGGACTGAGACTTGGACAGGCAGTTATGAAGGAACTTGAAATTATTCTTAAGTAGCATGAATGAACGAATGAATGAATAAATAAATAAATCAGGTACTCTTGATTCTTATGTACTGGTGTGAAAGCAAGATAGTTAAAGAAAGGGGGAAATCCCCATTTCTTTGAAATGTGGCCTATGAGGATAGCCATGATGATGCTTGAATTACCAGAAAAAGAAAATTCTAGATCAAACCAAGCCTGAATTCTATCTAGAAGCAAAAATGACTAAACTGAGGCTGTCCTCAAGTGGGCACATCCTGAGAAGGCAGGATTCTCTGGAAAAGACCATCATGCTGGGAAAGGGGAAAGGCAACAGGAAAAGAGGAAGACCCAACGTGAGATGGGCTGACCCAATAAAGGAAGCCACAGCTTTTGAGTTTGCAAGAACTGAGCAGGGCTGTTAATGACAGGGCCTTTTGAATGCCACTCATTCATAGGGTTGCCATTCATAGCGAAGTGATTGGATTGCGGATAACAACACATAACAATTGGTATCTGCTGAATGTGGGGGGGCACCTTTTGGAACACTGTGGTGTGTAGTCCTTATTGTTCTTTTCCAAAGCCCTCAGCATCAGCTCTTGCAGAAGAACCGGCTGCTGGCTCTGCTTTTTTAGAAAGGAAACCATTACAAGTTTCTCCAAAGCTTGGCAAGAAAATGTGTTGAGGAGGGAGCGCCACTCAGCCTTAGGACAAGTTTGTTTTTCACTCTCCCGGCACTCGCTGCCCAGTTGCAGAGCGGATCGGCTGCCCCCTTTCCAGACGCTTGTCCAGTTAAGCCCCACAGATTCCAGCTGACTCACGGAACAAATGAGGATAACACGCCATCCCATTGGGAGCCCTTCTCTGCGGCAGCAAACAGCCGGCCGTTCTACAAGAGCCCACAATGCAAGCAGATGCTTCCCTCTGCATTTTCGAGGCAGGCCGAGAGGGAGATTAAACAGGAGGGGATGGGGAGGGACTCAGTAAAGGTCAGCAGCCTTGATGATGGTGGTGGTGGCAGCTTCTGGTGGGGTTGTGTGGAGATAACTAAATCCCCCATCCCCGTCCCCCGCCCTTGGAAAGACAGGCTGCATCTGCTGGGACAGTATTTGAAAGGCTTACAGCATGCTGAACCAGAAAGGAGCATTAATCACATATAAAGAACTGATTAGTAAAGAACAGAATATAAAGGATAAGCAAGAGCTAGAGGAATTGGGTGTAGCCTCCGATTGGTGGTCAATGTTGAAACTAGAATCGAGATCTAAAAAAGATTAAAATTGTGGGTTTCTTCGAGGGCAAAGTTCAGGTAGACAAACTGTGGATATATACTGATGAGAAAATAATAAATGAACATATTGGAGTATGACTTGGAGGATGAGAGAGTGAAGGAGATGATGGTAAAATGGGCAAGTAACTTTGGACATAATATTGATATTGATGATTGGACAAAGATGTGGAAAGAGTGTCATAAGATGATTAAACCAGTAAACCGTAGGGAAAATATCCTCAAAATGTTTTATAGATGGCATTTATACACCTGTAAGATTGGCAAAAGTATCAGAGAGTAACAGCAATGTTGGTTGGAAGTGTAAAAAAAAAATACAGATACTTATTATCATATGTGGTGGTCATGCGAAAAAGTCAAAAGATATTGGAAACAGGTGTGGAAAACAGTAAAAGAAATTACTCAACAAAAATTAAATATCAAACCTGAAATAGCATTACTGAATATCATGCTGGAAATTATTGATAACAAAATAAAAGACTGTCTAATCATGTACACACAGCAGCCAGGCTACTCTGGGCCCGGAAATGGAAAAGTGAAGAAATACCAACGACAGAGGAGTTGCTAAAGAAGTTATGGGACGTAGCAGAACTAGACACACTTTCAGAAGCGTTGCAGGAACAACCAAGAGACTATATAAAACAGAGCTGGAAGTTAATATATTTTTGGGCCCAGAAAAAGATAGGAGTTCAGGGCAAAATTCGGTATTCTATGTACTCAGTGCCTACAGGAAACCAACTGGAGTCATCCAAGATCCAAACAATGTTGGAATCTGTAACCCAAAAGGGGGGAGGGTTTGTCTTAGTTAGTAGTGGGGTTTTTGTCAGTTTGTAGTGGCTGGTGGTTTGGTGTTTCCGTTTTTTTTGTCTGTTTGTAGTGGCTGGTGGTTTGGTGTTTCCTATTTTGTCTCTTTTGTAGTGTTTTATTTTAAAATAAAATTTTACTTGCTATCAGGAAAGAAAGAAAGAAAGGCTTACAGCCTGATCCCAAGGTTGAAACAGTCTGTTTTAAAGCCTCGAGATGAGGTGGGGCTGGCACAGTGGCCGTGGCGAGACAAGGGAGCATCGAGCCAAACTGGGGGAACTGGTGCCACTGGTGCCATAGCTGGAGAGACTGTTTTCCCCTTAGAACCCAACAACTGGGTTGGGGGTTCAGGAGCAAGGTGCCCACTGGCACGGACTGGGGGGGGCTCAAGTCGTGGGACTGGCTGTCAAGTTGGACTTGGGAGTCGCATCTGGGACTCAATTCGTTCTTGAGTTTTTTCCCCCCCAACGACTTAACTCAGACTCCACCTACCTCTCCCATTGGGGGAGGAAGCTTGCTTTTAATAGAGATTTGGACTTGCTTGGGGCTTGGTATCAAAGATTCAACCTCAGGCCCAAAGACTTGCCAACATCCTTACAGATTAGATAGAGCAAACGGTGAGCGCCCGCTGAGCTGGCGCTCCTGACAACTCTGGAGACGGCACGGTTAAGACATTTCTAACTATAAACAGACTTATTGCATTTATGCTTCAAATAGGCACTTCCTAGCGTTAATCCCCTCTAGAGTGGACTGCTTAAATATCATTGAGACTTATTTAAGCGAATCCCGGCTGGCCCCCTTCCTGCTTTCTTTTTGGCAGGCAGGCAAAGGCGTTTTTTTTCATAGGCAAGCTTTTAGTAACTCAATTAAACAACTGACACAGAAAGGGAGTCTTTTTTAAAAAAATGCAGGATGTCATTCATTTTATTGCTTTCATGTCTGTTTGTTTTTTAAAGAAGATTCTTGAATGAGTGGCCTTGTTCATGCCAGCCAACATCCTCTTGGGGTTTTACTCCAGAGGATGCGACCCATGCAAGTCCTGGTGGCAAATGGCG